ATGATGCAACTACAGCAGCGATAGAGTGGACTAATGAACTTACATTGTCCTAGAATACCATGAGTATCAACAATTTACAAAGCCCAAACTTTTTTGAAAACCGGCAACAGGTTTTGTTGCTGCAGTACCAACGGAGTGTTACCCTATCCAGGTCTCAGAATAGATCCATGAAGTCGAGCTGTAAAACTGGAGAGGGACGGGAGAAATAGAGGAAAGGACCGCAGTGGGAAAGAATTTGGACATGGCGTGACATCACTTTAAATTTACTACCCGTTCGTTACTAGATTCAAATTCAGGTACTTTTATATTTGCAGTAAAACCACATTGGAATACATGTGCAAAAGTCCCCCTGTGTGCATTAAAGTGCTATGTTCAAACTGATAACAGATTGTGGAAAGAAGCTGTTAGCTGGATGTCATGTGTTTTGACTGTGGCTCAGTTGGTAGAGCATTGGCCTTTGAGCCTGATGGTTGTGGGTTTGATCCCACCGCGATACCCTCTCCACCGACTCTGTCCTTTGGCAAGACACTTTACCCCACTTTGCCTATAAGGAGCGTAAAAGTACACTGCATGTCGTGATGTATTATATGACTATTTGTGTATTAATCAAACCAAATTTCTCCATTGTGAGATCGATAAAGTAAATCTTCTTCTTACCGACCAATATCATCTGCCAGAGGGAAGAAGTGGGAACATGGCTTTTCTAAGGGGAAGAAGAGTCATTGGCTGTGTCCAAAACGCTAGGCATCGGGCCGCGTAGGGTGGATATGTAGGCATTGTGACGTCACTTCCTCAAGCGACGGCTATTGCAGGGGTGTCCAAAACCACTTGGCGAGCTCGCCAAGCGTAGGCATCATGACTTCGTCTCCATGGAAACGGCCACTTTTGGAGCAGATATGAAGGATGCATCTGATGTATGCTTCGTTGCCTTCTTTTTGCCAAGTCACGGCCGCGCATGCGCAGAACTCCGTTCGGCATTAACATGTAAACAACAGACTCAGCTCGAAGCTGCTGGAGCTAACATCATGGTAAGCACTGCTATACTTTACGGTGAAGTTATGTCTATAGTAAGTACTGCTATACTTTACTGCTGAGTTATGAACACGACTGTTATGATAAAACACAGACATAAGTTAGATCTGCCACAGATGTGTGTATTTAACCTTGTTATCTGCTGTAAATAAGCTCAGTACCGAAAAGCTAATGCTACGAGGCTAGTTCATTCGGGTGCGTACCGATGTTCCCCGGGTCCGATGTTCCCCGGGTCCGATGTTCCCCCACTTCTATAGGCGGGGGAACATCGGACCCGGGGAACATCGGTACTTCGCGTATTAAAAAGTCCCGATGTTCCCCGGGTCCGATGTTCCCCCGCCAATAGAAGTGGGGGAACATCGGGACTTCAACAACGAGACTAGTCCCGCTGTTCCCCGCGTGCGCCCTTTGATGTTTGATGTTTCCTCCTCCACGAAAGATGGCATATGATCCGCGCCAACTTTTGTGAGAGAAAAAATACTAACTAGCCTAAGCCTATTTACTTTTCTTTTTCCCTCTCGCTCTTTGTGTGCTCATATTTCAGCTGATCGCAGCTTGAGTCTATGCAGGATATTTTTGGGCATGTTATGGGCATGTTATCTCCCCTTGCTCACTCTCCCATGGGCATCTATATTTGACAAGTCTGACTGAATAAAATGAGGACGATTGAAACTAGAGCTACTACATCTGTTAGCCTATAGTTTTTCCAAATACGTGGTTTTGCTGAGGGCACTGTGCTTTTACGCATAATGGACACGCATATGACGTCGTTTTTGTTGTAAAACTTGAATATGCTCTTTTAGTTTTAGAGATATTAATACATATTATTCTATTCAGAATGCGTGCGTCATTGTGCATTGTTGTCCCGCCTTACGTGTCACTCACAGTTAAAATGTAAATAACCAATTCAAACATAGCATTTTTACAACTTGAACTTTAAGAAAAAAATGATCAAAGGAATCAGTGTAAAATAAGATCGGAAAAGCTCAATTCATGATTGTTTAATTAGGTTTCCCATTTTTAAATACAATTGGAAACGCTCAGAATTCAAAAATATTGAAAAGTGTATTGGCTCCTACAGTGGGGGGAATAATAATAATAATTATAATAATAATATAACCCCCTGAGCGTCATCACGTTCCTACGTTGCTTCAAATATAGTCCTGTTTACTGGCTGAACAATTTTGTCCAATATCATATCACACAGCGTGAAGCGAGAACAACCAGCTATTCCTCGTCTTAAAGATTGACAACGCTCTCAAAGCATTCATGACAGAGCAGCCTTTTTAATTTTAATTTTAAGAAAGTTCAGCGTGAACTTTGTGAGGTAGAGGAGCCAGAGGCCCGGGCCCGTAGGTCCCAGAGGAGGAGAGCGCGGTCAGGCCTGGCTCGCCTTGCACTGATGAGGTAAACTCTAGGCCTGTGTGAGACACACTGTGGGCCTCACTGTAGGCCTCACTGTGGGCCTCACTGTAGGCCTCACTGTGGGCCTCACTTTGGGCCTCACTGTGGGCCTCATGTATGAAACCTGCGTACGGCCAAATCAGGGTAAATGAGGCGTACGCAAAATATTACACTTTTCCGCATTTATCTATCTGGACGTGAGTGTACAATACGCAAAAAATAAACGCCAGGTCTGGAGGTGGTGTAAATCTATACGCTGAACTCAACCTTCGGCACAACACGCATGAAATTCAAGATATGTACAACAATAAACATATTCCCTCTGGCAAAATTATATGCTGTGTTTTCATTGAGGATCATGTTTCAAAATTTGAATTTGCGCATCAGAAAAAGTCTAATGGAAACACGCAAACTTAGAATAAATCACAGCTCATGATAAGGACCCTCACTGTTAGACCAGACTGTAAAAACAGCAGTAATATACCACTTTTCAGCCAGTATGACACTGTAAATGCCAACTGTGGTAAAAAGCTGTAATTTGCACTGCATCATGGGAAGTTTAACTACCGCGGGTTTTTCAGGGACCACTCCAGGATACATCTGGTTCTGCTTACAGACAGAGACTGAATTATTCAATGTAGTGAAGAGCTCAAGGTTGTGGGTTGATGAGGCTGTGGTGGAGTTGCGCTCATTCTGGGAATTAAGATGGGCATTTTTAAGCTGCACAGACAGTTTGGATGATGCACGGGAACTGTGAATCTACATTACTTTGTGAGGACAGCATAATTTCCAAAAGGACTGGGTCATCTAAAACACAAACAAACCTGGTTCATGCTAAATCAGGCAGTAGAAAAGAACGGTACTCTGTTTCGGGGCGGGACCGCAGTCCGGCTTACAAGGAGTAAATATAGATAGGAATGAACTGAAAGCAGCTAAGTTCCGGCAGAGAGAGGAACGACTGCAGGAGCATTTTGGAAACAAATTATGCTTTGTTTGGAGGTCTACAGCAGATCAACAACTACAAGCCCTAAGCCCCCCCTGTGTGACGACCACTGGCTTTGCTGACGACCTGAACTTAGGTTTTTTCAGCTCGCTTCGACGTGATCGGATCCCTCCCCCACCCCCCACTAGTCCTAACGCACCACCCATGCAGCCCTGCCCACCAGCTGACAATAGCCGCTAGAGAGACTCAAACAACTTCTACTTCTTGAGGCTGCACCCCCGCCAAAGCTCCTGGCCGGACCACTGTGTCTCCGCCACTCTGAGACACTGCGCCAGTGATGCTTACCCTGTGTTCACGGACATTTTGCAACTCCTCTCTGCAGTACCTGCCATGTCCCGGCCTTGCTTCAAATCCTCCAACATTGTCCCCGTCCGAAGAAGCAGGCTGGGGTCCATCAGGATAGTACCTTCCCGGCACAAGAACAGTTTCTTCCTCTGTGTTAGATCTTGACAACTTGAAGCTTCTTAAGTCCCCGCCCTTAGAAGTCCTATACTGCTCCTTATAAAGGTCACTTTCCTTACTTGTACTGCTGTCACCCTTATGTAGCATCGAGGGTCTTTTATACCATAGTCATTATTCCTACTCCTGAATGCAACGGCCCTATGTCTTATTTAGGTATAGGGAAGTACAGTAGTAAGTAAGGTAAGTAAAGATTATATTATATAAAGGCTTTTCACGATAAAAATCACAAAGTGCTGTACGGAACAGTGGGGCAAAATACAAAACAATCTAAATACTCTTACAACATTACACATTTTAGGAATTAAAAGTGACATCAGTGTAGATACCAATCAAAATAAAAAGCTTTCTTAATAAATAAAAAAGTTTAAGCCTTTTTTGAAGAGTCCGCGAGTGACCAGAGTTGGGAAGGGGAGGGCGTTCCCAGTCTGGGGGAACAGACTGAAAAAGAGCTGGTCCTCGAGTTTATTATGGGTTTTGGGGGACCACAAGAGGTTGGCCAGAGGACCGGACGAGAACGGCCAGAGGAGTACAGGCTCAAAAAGGTTCAGGATGTATGGGGGGCTATGACCCAATTAAGGTTGAGGTCTGCACTAAGATCTTAAAATCCAATCCGAATTTGATGGGAGCCAATGGAAGAACAGGACAGAAACAGGATGTGATATTGGGACTTCGAGGGGCAACTGTTAAAAGATTAGCAGCCGAATTTTTGAACAATTTGAGTTTGATTGAGTGAGACTTTTAAGCAGGTAAAAACAGGAGCTTGCCAATAGTCAAGTTTGTATGAAATAAAGCTGGTTGAATGTATTCATTTCCGATATTCTTTGACAACCTATTGGGATTTTGCAATGTTTCCTAAGGTGATAAAAAGCAGTTACGGGACGGATGTTTGGGTGTGTCTCATAGACATGGGCGGGGTCAAAACACCCTAGGTTTCTGAGGCGGATTTGAGGAGGAGCCACAGAGACCCAAGGAGCTGATTTGATCACAGCTGGTCTTTAATGGTCTGGAGACAAAGATGAGAGTTTCCAGGTTTTGTTGGACTTACTGTAAGTAGTTAGTGGCAGCCAGTCTTTAAGGAGGGACACCACACTCCAAAATGATGCGCGATGGAACTCAGACGTTCATTAAAGAACAGTACACTGGAGTCATCGGCATGAAATGGTAGGCTACATCCTCGAGGTGATTAATAATATTACAAGGGGAAAAATGTACATAAAAACAAAATCGACCAAAAATGATCCTGTGCACTACGAGGCAGAATTAGTCACATCTGATGTACATTGTTTAAAGCAACGTTCAAAGTTCTGCTATGGACATATGAGGAGACCATGGAGGCCTGACAGGAAAGCCCTATTCATTTGTGAAGCCGGTCAATATGTCTATTATGATCACAGTGTCAAAGGCCGATGGGACATTAACAGAGTACAAGAACTGTGTAGCGTTGGGAATCGGACTTGCCATCATTACATCACTAGAAAATTTGATAAGAGCTGTTTCAGTGGAGTGTAGTTTACGAAAACCAGGACTGAAGTGGATCAAACAAATTGTGTGTTCTACAGGAGGTCAGTGGCATGCCCACTATTTTACAGAATTTTGGAAATAAAAGGAAGTTTGGAGATGGGCCTGTAGGTTTTTAGGTTCTGAGGGTCCGATTGGGCTTTTTAAGGATTGGGTTTACCACAGCATGCTTGAAGTAGTGGGGGATGAGGCAGATGAATAGAGAGAGGTTAATTATTTTAACACACCAGGAGCCAAAGTACTGAACATTTTCAAAATGTGGAGTGTGGGACAATGTTCAGCGGGCTCGAGGACAGGATAATGTTTTTCACTGAATTGTTCACATCCTGTAAGTGACATCGAGAGAGGACGCCAAGATGAACGGGGACAACTTTGAAGAACAACACTGGGTTATTAGGGGAAGATTCAGTTTGCCTAATGTCTTGACATTTGTTTTACGAGAATGACAAAAATTTATTACAGTCTCATGTGTAGTAACAGGCACAAGAGGAGCTGAAGGTGCAGAAGATTTTTCAATTGTTGTCAAACAGATTTTTGGCTTTTTCTTATTGCGACACACGGTTTGAAAAATAAGATGAGCGAGCCTGCTTATCATTTCATTCAGTTCCAGCATCAGGTCTTTTAAAGGAGTCTATGTACTTTACTTTGGTGGCTTTCCAAAGACGGCTCTGTCTTCCGACATTTTTCCTAAAACTACAACTGTCATCTTTCTCCATGGATGGGTTTTTTATGTGATCCTGAACTATCTTTAAAAACAGGTGCTACCAATCAAAATAGACACACGTGGCTGTTAAACTTTGCAACAAACGAATCAACATCATCACAAACAACAAAGGATGCGGGGTGTCAATCGGACAGAGAAATCACTAATGTTGTCTCACTAATGATGCGTTTTTGTGTAAAACATTGTTGAGACAGTTGGCATCATAGACGCGATGACGAGTGAAGGAAATGCAACAGTGGTCATAATATGTAAAATGCATCAACACTATATTTTTCAATGTATAGGCCAATGAGATGACTGAATCTAGCGTTGGTGACCTTTATGTGCGTGGGTGCCAGAAACGTGCTGTACAAAATGAAGAGTCATGGTCAGTTAACAGTTCAGCCCTTGCAATCACACATGCGGGATCGTCGATATGAGATTAAAATCCAAAGGACTAAACGCGATTAGTTTGATAATGGATGATAAAAACTCAGAGAATTCATCAAGGAATGTGCGCGCAGTTCCAGGGAGGTCGGTAAAACTAAGACACAGTAAAAGGGAGATTTTGTCCAACTGGGCACATCTGTAGCTCGAAGGAGTCGTATGAGCTTCCATCCATCAAACTGCAGCAGAAAGAGTCACGAAAAATACAAGCTCCAGTCCGCCTCCACGGTGCGCGAGAGCGGATGGACTCCAACCCTGAGCAGTCGGGGGGCAAAGTTCTTCCGATGAAGGTGTCGTTCTCGTTGAAGTCTTCGTTTTGAACTAAAATCCAAGTTCTCGTTTAGTGAAGTGGTAGTTCAGTGTAAGCGTTGTTTGCAACTAGAGCGCGCGTTTTTGAGAAGAGCAAATCTGGTGGCGCGATCCGTGACGCGGGTGCCTGGGTCGGCTGGATGGGCATGATCCGTTCTGGCAGGTAACGGGCACAAGACGCGGCTGGGGGGGGCAAGATGGTAAAAACAGTCGGGTGGGAAAGAGCGGTGGAAGGTGCTCACACGAGCGATGGACACACAAGCGCGTCCGAACTGGGCGGCAGGGACCGGAACCTGGCCTCAGGCACCGCTCACTCAGGGAGTTTGGGTCCGTTAGCCGGGTGAAGAACAAGCGATGACCACTTCTCTTTCCGGACTAGGACCCAGCCTGGATCCACGCTTCCTTCTCCTTCCGCGGCGCCGGGTAGCATCGGGTATTCCGGTGGGGTGTGGTGACGCATGGCGCTCCGTTTTGGAGGGAAAAATACTCAGGAGAATCTGTGCGGGTAATGCATATGTCCGTGCATAAGAGCCTTAATGTGGAAACAATGTGTGCCGTCATTATGTATGATGGCGGAAAATAGTGTAGTTGATAGGGTTGAACAAGAACCTCACAGGAAAGATTGAAATGTACGAGAGAGCAGAAGGTAAGCGACGCGCAGCCAGACACAGGACGCATCTTTATGCGCCCCCTCTCCTCCTGGGGAAACCCAATTTCTCCCGCAAATATAAAAGGACACAGGTTCGGAGGACATTGAGGACAGAGACAATAATCATAGAAAACATAATTTATTATAATTTAAATTGGTTAGATCTAATTAAAATAAGTTTCATGTATCATGCCCGTGTTTTAAGTACAGGTGCTCTCCGAGTCTCAGAATCCCCTTTTCTGCTTTGACAACACCCGTGACCTCATCCTGATGCATTGCCGAAATTAAAGACCACAGCTTTTTGCTGATGCCCTCCGGTACAGGCTGGGCTAGGGAGCAGAGGGACTGGACCCTACTTCTACCTGGTTTAGCCTGGGCATCTTTCTGTGAAAGCCGGCACCTGGCCACATGCCTCCACAGCGACTTTCGCTTAAGCAATGCCCCACAGTCTATACAGTGCAAAAACTCACTGGATTTAACTGGGGAATTTGGCTGTTTAGCTGGGACTAAAGTTCCAATGCCGGCCTTTAAAACCTCAAAATTGTGCTCACGGTTTCCACTATTCCTGATCAAATCAAACTGAAGTTTACGTGCTTTAGATTTCACAGGTAGAGCCAATGCTCTGGCTACGTCACTTTCATTTCCATGTTTTCTAGTCAAATGACGGGACATTTTGTGGCAGGACATTGAACAGTAGAGGCAGAAGTGTCTCTTGCTGTATACTCGCCCCCCATTTTTCTTCTTTTGCAGCTGCATGATAACAATCTTATTTGCCTTTGGTTCGTCACTTTCCGAGTCTTGAAGAAAAGTGTTTTTGATTTTTCTTTTTCCATACTTTTTTACAGGTTTCTTCTTGACAGTTAAATCGTCAGAATCTGAGTCGACTTCATCAATTAGGACTCTTGACTAAGCTGCACAAACAACAAATAATTTGCATTACGGGCCGGTAAGTTCCATGCGTACTTACAGTGGTACTTCTAGGTACTTACAGTGGTACTTACAGTGGTACTTACGTGGTACATACAGTGGTACTTACGGTGGAACTTACAGTGGTACTTACGGTGGTACTTACCGGTGGTACTTACGGTGGTACTTACGGTGGTACTTACAGTGGTACATTACGGTGGTACTATACGGTGGTACTTACGGTGGTACATACGGTGGTACTTACATGTGGTACTTACGGTGGTACTTACAGTGTACTTACGGTGGTACTTACGGTGTTACTTACGGTGGTACTTACGGTGGTACTACGGTGGTACGTCTTACGGTGGTACTTAACGGTGGGTACTTACAGTGGTACTTAACGGTGGTACTTACAGTGTGGACTTACGTTGGTACTTACGGTGGTACTTTACGGTGGTACTACGGTGGTACTTACGGTGGTACTTACGTGGTACTTACGTGGTTATTACAGAGGTACTTACAGTGGTACTTACAGTGGTAACTTTAACGGTGTACTCTACGGGTAGGTACTTTACGGTGGTACTTACGGTGGTACTTACGGTGGTACTTACGGTGGTACTTACGGTGGTTACTTACGGTGGTAATGTACCAATTGGTACTTACGGTGGTACTTACGGTGGAACTTACAGTGTACTGACAGTGGTACTTACAGTGGTACTTCTAGAGTACGTTATAGTGGTACTTACAGAGGTACTTCTAGGTACTTACAGTGGTACTTATTGTGGTACTTAGAGTACTTATTTGTGGTACTTACAGTGGTACTTCTAGGTACTTATTGTGCTAATTCTAGATACAAGCTGTAGACTTAGTAAATACCAGACACTACAGTATACATTCCTATGTAGTAAATGTGAACTTCTAGAACTACATACAATACAGGGAGATCATCTTGTAGGATTGTTTTGACTATAAAACATAAAACAACATTATGTAAAACAAACGACTTTATAATATGGAATAAGTAGCACAGAAAGGACAGTAATAAAATACATTTAATGCATATTTTCAAAACAAGTTTCATTTTCCAAGGAACAGAGGGGAACACTGCAAGAACTAGGTACCCAAAACCCAAGAAACAAGAATTACACTTACCAGGTACTTACCAGGCAAGTACCAGGTACTTACCCAGGTCACGAGTACCAGTAATACCAGCAAGTACCAGGTACCATACTAGGGACTGGCCCGTAATAAGACAAAGGACATTAAAACATAAAGTACCATGAAAACACCAGTAATTATTATAGTAAGTACCATGTACTTACCATAGAAACTGGCCCATAATAAGACAAAGGGGACTTTAACATAAGGTACCAAGTGAAAACACCAGTAATTATATAGTAAGTACCCGGTAACTATACCGGAAACTGGCCCTGACTTACCGAAAAACCATAAGTACTAAAAGTGGATAGCACTCTCAAGCCTGGTACTCAGCAAGAACGGCGGCACCTGAGTGGCACTCTCGCCTCTCAGCAAGAATCCCGGTTCAAAATCCCGGCCGGACCAGGGCCTTTCTGAGTGGAGTTTGCATGTTCACCCCGTGTCTGCGTAGGTTTCCTTCCTCCGAGGGTGGGGTTACTCCGGTTTCCCCTACCACTAAAAATATGTTACATAGTTCTGGCATGCGCCTCCTGTTCTGGCGACCCCGCTCCCATCTCTGTGTGGAGTGAGAGACAAGTGCCCAAAAAATAACAATTGTAAACCTCTTTGTGACTCTGGTCTGTGAAAGGCGGTATATTAAATAAAGATTACTTCTTACTTACTTACTTACCAGGTTACCAGCCAAGTACCAGGTACTTACCATAGGGAACTGGCCCATAATAAGACCAAGGACTTAACATAAGTACAGTGAATAACACCAGTAATTATACAGTAAGTTACCTGGTACTTGCTGTTAAGTACCTGGTACTTGCTGTAAACCTGGTACTTGCTGGTAAGGTAGATTGCTGGTAAGTACCTGGTCCTTCTGTAAGAACTATTGCTGGTAATACCTGGTCTTGCTGGTAATACCTGGTACTTGCTGGTAAGTACCTGGTACTTGCTGGTAATACCTGTATCACGAGTACTAAGGTCCTTTGTCTTATTATGGCCAGTTCCTATGGTACGTACCTGGACTTACTATAAAGATTACTGGTGTTATCACGTAATAAGTTAGTCCTTTGGTCTTATTATGGGCCAGTCCCCAATGGTAAGTACCTGGTATTTTCTTACTGTATAATTACTGGTGTTATTCACTGTACATAGTTAAAGTCTTTGCCTATTAATGTGCCAGTCCCCTATGGATAAGTAACTGGTACAGGCGTAAGTACCTGGTACTTGCTGGTAAAGTACCTGGACTTTGCTGAAAGTACCTGGTACTTGCGGTAAGTACAGTATCCTATATATTACAGGTACAATAGTACTATGGGTAAGTCCTTTGTCTATGAGGGCCAGTACCTTTCCTATGGGAAGTAACTGGTACTTACTAGATAAATTACTGGTGTTATCAGCTGGTACTATGTTTAAAGTCCTTAGTCTTATTATGGGACCAGTTCCAATGTTAAAGTACCTGGTACTATACTATAAAAAGTACTGGTTATCACTGTAACTTATGTAAAGTCATTGTCATAATTACTGGCCAGTCCCTATTCGGAAAGTACCCTGGTACTCTTCCGCTGGTAAGTACCTGGTACTTGCTGGTAAGTACCTGGTACATGCCTGGTAAGTACCTTGGTACTTGCCTGGTAAGTACATGTACTTGCTAGGTAAGTACATGGTACTATGCCTGGTAAGTACCTGTACTCTGCCTGGGTAAAGTACCTGGTACTTGCCTGGTAAAGTACCTGGTAATGTGTAATTCGTGTTACTTGGGTTGGGTACCTAGTTCCTTGCCAGTGTTTTCCCTTGTCCTTGAAACTTGTTTTTGAAATATGCATTAAATGTAGTTATACTGTCCATTCTGTGCTACTTATTCCATAATTAATAAGACTTTTGTTTTAACTTAATGTTGTTTATAATGTTTTATAGTCAAACATTCCTACAAATGACCTCTGTATGTAATGTATTAGAAGTACCACAATATACTCTGGAATACAATACTGTAGTGTCCTTGAATTACTTAAGTTACAGCTGTATCTAGAATTATCACAATAAGTACCTAAAGTACCACTTGTAAGTACCTACAATAAATACCTCTAAGGGACCACAAATAAGTACCTAAATACCACTGTAAGTACCACTGTAAGTACCTAGAAGTACCACTGTAAGTACCACTGTAAGTAACCCCACCTGAATTACCACTGTACGTACCACCGTAAGTACCACCGTAATACCAACGGTAATTACCACCGTATGTACCTACCGTAAGTACTCTCAACGGAAGTACCAACCGTAAGAACCACGTAATACCCACTGTAAGACTACGTAAAGTACCCACTGTAAGGTACCCCCGTAAGTACACCGAAGTACCACGTGCAGTACCACCGTAAGTACCCACGTAGTACCCCCGACCGTAAGTACCACTGAAGTACCACCTGTAAGTAACACTGTAAGTACCACCGTAAGCATACCACCGTAAGTACCGCTGTAAAGTACTCACTGTAAAGTACCACTGTATAGTACCGCAAGACCGAAAGTACACCAGTAAGTACCACTGTACAGTACCACTGTAAGTACCACTGTAAGAACCCTAAACCGTAAGTACCACCGTAAAGTACCAACAGAAAGTATGTAAGTACCACTGTAAGGTACCACCGAAAGTTGTAGTACCACCGAAAGTAACCAACCGAACGAACCACGTAAGTTTCAACCGTAAGAACCACTGTACGTACCACCGAAAGTACCACTGTAATAACCACAGTAAGT